GGAGCAGCTCACAGAAATCACGGAACCACTTACTTACATTCGTTTATTATAAAGGATATTACAAAGGATATAGATGAAGAGACGCATAAAGCAAGTACAGGGGAAGGGGTTTGGAGCTTTCATGTCATCTCAGGGCAGGGTGACACTCTCCAGGAACTTCTGGATCTTTAGTTATCCTGAAAGTTCTCTGAAACCATTCCTTTTGAGTTTTTATGGAGACTTTATAACATAGACATGAATGACAACTGTGTAGAAATGTGATTGGACAAAAAGGGTATGATTTCATCCTAATAGACTGAGAAGGGAAACCCCAGCAAAACCTGTCTATTAAGATTCTTCTTTTCCTCTCTGTGCAGCATTCCTTCTTCCAGAGTAAGGGAAAGGACTCTCTCTTCAATGAAGGTCATCTGAACCACAATCAGATTACAGTCTTGCCCTGGACAAGTAAAAAGAGGACAGGAGGTGGTTAGAGGGGAGAGAGAGAGAGAGAGAGAAAGAGAGAGAGAGATTGATTCTGTTTCCTGAAACTTGTTCCTGAGACCTAAAGTGTCCCAACATCATAACAAAAGACTGTAACTAGGGCCACGGAAGTTATGAGCTAGGAGCCATGGAGGAAAACCAATATATATGTAATCATAATATCACATATGCCTAATAGGGATTTTTAGTGCCTTCTAGAATTTTCTTCAAGGTATTATATTTGAGTTTGGACAGTAAATTGTTTCCCTTTGCTCCTCTGTGGGTGTGACTTCACCTCTGCAGGCTCCCTGGGCCTCTGGTTACTCTCCAGATCTTTGGTGCCCAAAGAGAAAAAGGCAGAATAAGGATGCTGGCTGACTCCAAGTTTCATCTTCAGTGGTTGAAATCCAGTTTACATTCATTAGCTTTACTTAGGTATGTCTTTTGTCCTCAAGCAAAGCTCTTACTTCTCTGTCATATATCTCTGTCTTATTTGACTTGTCAAAAGCACATTCACTAGACTAACATTAAAGTACTATTTCAAAAATAAAAAATTCCCACTTTTTTATTCTAGGCATGTATATAGTTATAAACCATCTAATTAGCCTCTAAAATTAGGAACCATATTTCCTCCAGAGTTGATCATATTCTCCTTTTTATCAAGGGCAGTGGTAGACTCATTTTTTTAGCCTTTGATCATTTTGCAAAGCTTCAGTGATTAATATACTTCAAGACCTTCTTGGTTTAGATAACAGGTGTTCATTTCATTTGTCTCCCTTTTTCAGGGATCAGAACCTTGTATTGTCGATTTTTCAATGTCTAAAAACAGTTGTTTCATAGACTTAGTTTAAAAGGTAGGTGGGCAAGTCTTTCACGGAAAGATAAATTACTAAGATTTTTAAGTGTCCTATTTGAGTATCAGAGTAATGCAAAACACTCAATTTATGAAAATAATAGATTTCTTTTTTAAATCTATGGTCTAAAAACAGTTTTAATAGCATCAGAGTTACCAGTTTCTTTGGGAATTAAAAATTATTATGTAAAATCCTCCGGTCCTTTCCTGGGTGGTACATTTTCCTATTGTCCTTAAAGTTTTTATTTTTGTAAGTTTATTAGACTTCCTAACTCTTCCAAACACTTCTTGTGCCAATCTCAGTGCTTTTTATTTCCTTAGGAGTAGTATTCATTCCATCTGGATTCAATTTTTTAATTAATTAGTCATAATTATTTGACTTTTTGTTTTCTTTCTCTACCTTGAAACTCTCTTTATTAGACTAGCTGTTTATTTACTTATTTTATTATGCTCAAACCAACCCCCACTAAAAAAATTATATCATGTATTTAAAAATTAATCCCATTGTGTCTTTGCTTTCAAATTTTTCTCAATTTTTGTTTGTATTTTTGTTAATTCATTTCTTCTGATTTTTTTCTAACTTCTTGGTTGATGGATTTTTTTCTTTATAACTGATTTGTAACTTACATACAATGAGGTGTACATATCTTACCTATACAAAGTTTGATGAATTTGTACAGTATCAGTTCTTGCTGGCTTTTAAGTTCTGATTTCAACCTTTTCAAGACTTGGCTGTATGTCAAGACCTTGTACTCTATAATAGTGCTTCTCAAAATAATGTGCATAAAAATCATCCATGTGTCTTTCAAAAATGTAGATTCCGGTACGATGGGTCAGGGCCTGAGATTCTGCATTTCTAATTAGCTCCCATCGGATCCCAATGTTGCTGGTCTGTGGTCCACACTTTGCATAGCAAATTTCTGTAAGATATTCCTGTATTTTTCTAACACATTTTTTTTGGATGGGGCTTAATCCATGTTGAGTTTCTTTTATTTCCAAATAAATTATTCTCAGTTAAGACACACTATACCCTCAGTCCTTGGTACTGGTAGCAGACATTTAATAAATATTTGTTAAATTCAATTAAGGCTACACATTTTTGTGTGTTTAAGTTCTCTAAATATAGAACTTGTCATATTCTCTGACTTTGCTATATAGAGTTTTTTATTAGTTCATTTTATTAATATTAATATTTTAAAAATATTTTTATTAATATTCTTTAGCATATGATCTTTGATTTGATTTTCTTTTTAACCTAAGAGTTTGGGAACAGATCTTTCAAAAATTTTCAAGTAGTTTGGGATATTTGTGAATGCGTGCTTTTATTTTGTTTATTTCTTGATTTATTGCCCTGTTTTGAAATTGTGGATATATTATTTCTGTGTTTTGAAAATGTTTTATAATTTTCATCTTGAAAATTCCTTCTTTAGATGTGTTAATATAGTCAGTCAGGCTATAGTCAGGACTTGGCAGGGAAGCTGTTTTTTCTCTTTAAGGTAACTTTCCATACAGATGGTCAAATCTATGTTATGCCTTTAATACTTTAACTCTAGATGGAAACTGTATTTTCCAATTTCAGACTATCTAGAGGGGAGATCTGTCTGTTGCCCTATATACTATGGTTCTCTCCATGTACACAATGAAAATAGTAACAGTGCATGTCTATTATAAGGCATTGCTGTAAAACTAAAATGCTTAGCACTATGCCTGGACCATAGTAAGCTCTCAATAGTAGTTGTAGATGACATACATTATTTTCTGAACCTGTAGTTTTGCTGTTAGTAGCATTCCAATCTGATAGAGATAGGGTGGTTTTCAATTTCCCCAACTTCATTCTAACCAAGAAAAACTGGGCAACAGATGAAGAACAAAAGAAAAAGAAACTAGACAGAAGACAAGAATCACATGGGTATAAGTGTGATGTAATGATCCTGTAAAAAAAAAAAAAGAAAAAGAAAAAAGAAAAGAAAGAAAGAAAGAAAGAAAAAAGTCAAATTAATTTTGTTTTAAAGATGTTTTAAAGGATTCTTTGAAAGAATATGCTGAGCTGCTGAGCAGAGTATCCAGAAGCAAATCCTAATGAGAGATACAAATTTTTTTACTTTTCTGAAATAGATATGAGGACTTGTTTCTCTCCTCTATTAATCTCCTCTTAAGTTGTATTAACCTTCTTGATAGAAATTAAGCCATTCATTTTTTCTCCCCACTGCTGTGCACAAATGCCTGGCAAAAGAGCTTTGAAGCATAGTATGAATTTTGTGGGGATTAAGAGCACCATTTTTAGAGTCCTGCAGACCTCAGTCAAATTCCAGTTCCTCCACTCAGTAATTAAACAAACTGCCTCAAGATCTATGTCTGGGACTCCTCGCCTGTAAAACACACCTTACCTTAGAGTGTTAAGGGGATTCAATGAGATATTAAGTATGTAAAACTTAATACAAAGCACTTTTCCTAAACTAACTTAAATTAGTTTACTAATCTACTATCTATCCATCCAGACCAGGAACCTCAATAATTGACCAATAATAAATAGTAACTGAATGAATGGAGCTTTATACATACAAATAACTTTTCTATTATTATCTCATGTGAAATCATAAAGCAAATTATTATTCATTTGATATATGAACAACAAAGTCAGGTTATAAAGTTGGAAAGTCGACCAATAATAACTAGTAAGTGGTATTTGGTGATTCTTTTAGTGAGGGCAACTTAAAAAAGTATAGAGTATTATTTATTCTCATTGCAAGTCTATCAAAAATTGACTAATAGTGCAGCATTGCATTCCTCCCTGCTGTTGGTTCTCAAATGGCTTATCTTAGCAAATATAACTTGCAAACAACCCAGGTCTGGCTAATCAGTGCATTTACTCTGGAAAAGGAATAAATTCTCTGTTTGCCAAACATCTTATCAGATGGGTGATTTCACAGTCATAGAAAGAAATGTTTCTCATCTTCAAGTGAATGGAAACCTGAACATTGCTGGGTGGCAAATTCACCTACCACACCCACTCCTGTTCTCTACTTTCAAGGTTGCCCTCTGAACTCTTACCAGAGGATGAAAAAACAACCCTACGTTTGGCTAAAGGTCAATTCGTACTGTGGCTGTCACTTTGTTTATATGCGTTTTCCTTCTCAGCTCTATCAATTTTAATTCGGGCTAAGCGAGAGGTCGAGGGCCTGTCATCCTAGGCATGGACATCTTTTTCTATTTGACTTTTGGTCCTGGGAGAAGTGCAGCTGCGTTCTGAGGAGAATGTGGACCAGCCTTATCCCTCACCGTCATCCTTCACTTCGCCTTCTGTTTGTATTCTCCCAGTCAGTTTACTATCTTGCAAAACGACTTCACAACTTATTGGCCTCAGAGCACTCCGACGAATCCAAACCCCCAGGCAACCCGGACACTCTCGGAACCCCGTCGCAGCTCCAGCCAGCCCACACCCACGCGGAATCATTCCATTTCCCGGCGACCAATCAGTGCGCCACACGCTGCCGCGCCAGCCAATCCCTGCAAAGACACGTTGTCCCGGCCGTCTCTCCGTGCCCTCCGGAGCTCGCGCGTCTGAGCGAGGGGGCGGAGCTTGGGGAGCTAGTTGCCTTCCAGTTGGCTGCGGCCGGCAGCGGCTGGACGTCCATTGGTTGCTGCCGCCCGCGCCTGGACGGGCGGGGAAGCTGAGCGGACTGGAATTGAGCTGTGCTGCCGAGACCGGTGAGCTAGGTGTGTGGTCGGCGCGCCTGGGCGGTTTCCAGCTCCCTGCTTCACCTCAGGTAGCGGTGGGGAGAGCCACCGAGCCGTGGCGGGAGCGGGGCGGGAGGGAGAGAGGGTGACTGTGGCGTCCGGGGCGCCCCGCCGGGTGCATCTTCCCGGACCTGTCCCTGGCGTTGGAATGGGAGTGAGGCTGGGGGTGACGGACCCTGGCGTCCGGGCGTGTGTAGACCTCAAAGGCGAGAGAGGCAACTGAGGCCCAAGGAGGGGAGAGGCGAGCCGGCAGCATCCCAGGACTCACACCTTACCTCTCTGCACCACTCACCGACTTAACTTTGACGCGGATGTGGCCTCAGTTTCTTCGTCTGTTAAGTGGGAGAGGGGTGAAAATAACCCAGCTTCTAGGACTGTGGTGTAGGCTTATTGAAGACATGTTCAGGGATGGGCACTGCGCTTCCTGGTTCTTAGTAGATGCACAGACAGCGCAGGGTATACGTTCCTCACACCAAGCTTTGAGGGAGATGATGCTGATGACTAGAGATAAAGTTTTCCCATTGCTTACTGTCTTCTCAATTCGGTGCTAAATATATTAACTCACATAATTCCTCAATAAATTATTGTGACTGTTTTCCCTAATTTGCACTCAGGAAGGGTTACCTGAGATTTTGGGGTTCAGGGGCCAGGACAAAATTTGACAAATTCAGTGTGGGGTCAGGTTTTTAAAGTCTCTTCCAGCCTGTGGTCAGCTTCCGTATTTAAAAAGATACTGGTAGGCTCTGAAGTCAGAAGCCCTGGGTTGGAATTCTGGCCCCATCACTTATTAGCTGTGTGATTTGGGCAAATGACTTAACCTCCCTGTTGCTATTTTCCCTTTCTGTAAGATAGGGATAATGACAGGACCGATGCTTAAGGTTGTTTATGAGGATTAAATGAAATAATACAAAAGAAGACTGACCACATAAGAAGAGATCAATACATGATAGCTATTATTATTAATAATAAAGTACTAGGGTATTAGGAGTTTACTATTAAGTTGAGCTCAGAATTAAAGCTGTGATTTCATTAGAATTTAAATGTTGCCTTACGTATTGTAAAAAGTTTCTTTAAAAAAATACATACACAATTTATCAACAAATATGGTGTTAGATATTCAGCCAAATATGTTTATTAATACCCACTACCCAGAAGTCTTCTCCCTGGACAGGCCCACTCAAATGGAAAGTTAGAATTACAGCTGCTTTACTCTTAAGGCAAATTGGGGGCTAAGGGCTTGGTGATCACAGAATTATCTCCAGAGTTAACAAACTAGCTACACTACTCCTCGTATGTCAACGTTAGAAAATCAAATATTTTTTGTCATAAGGCAATAAGTCTCAAAATTTGTGGTAAAGCCTCAAGATTTGTGATAAGTTTAGGTGAGCACTTGAATCAGAGGATCACTATTCACATTGCAGGAGTGTTCTTTCATGTTGTATTCCTTTAAACAGTGAGCTCTTGCAAGGACCAATCTCAAAACAAGAGAGACTACTGTTCTTAACTGAGCTGGAAAAACTAGGTTACCAGTTCAAGGTTAATTGGAAATCCAAGAATATGCTGACATTTTTAGGTTAGATAGAAAGTATAATTTAATTTACAAGGCCTTGGTTTGTACAACATGAACAAGGCCTTGGTTTGTATGACATATTAAACTTAAGTGAAAACCAGATTAATCGGGCAATGGAAGGTTAGAAGTTCCACTACCGAACTTTTTAAATAAGTGAATTCTGATTTAGTCATACTACATAAATATAGACCAATTTTTAGGGCATTCAGTTTTTATTAGAGGTTAAAATGTTTTATATGGTACATATTTAAAGTAGAATCTATGACCATTTCACTGTGACATATATTAGAAAATAATTGGAGGTGGATTGGTCAAGACTATGGTGCTGATAGCTTCAAGAAAATGTTTAAGGGAAGGCTGTCCTCTCATTGATGACAGCCACTATTCACCACTAGTGATCACTTCAAAAACGCGGAAATAGAAAACATGAATATAAGAAGGTTAGTTTAAAGTAAGGAGAATATATGGAGGTGGGCATTACTCAGCACTTGGCTGCAGGACTGACTAGAGTATTATCTTCTATATGGAGCTGGTAGATTCTGATAAGGTTAAGTGGTACCTGTTCTCTCTGACATGTGTTAGAGTTGGAGAATTTCCTGATCTAAGGTTAAGGAAGGAATAAAAGATTGAATTAGTAAAAGGGAGTTTAGAATGGATTTAAATCCTTACATCCTCCACAGTTGCAGGAAGACAAATTGTGTAGTTTCCTTTTAATTCATATGTGTCTTGTTATATTAGGAAAAAACCAACACGTTGATAACCCCAATACTGTTCCCTGGGCCCCCATCACCTTGGGTTTAGAATCTATTTCAAGAGATACTCAGTCAGACCTATTCATACAGATTGCAGTTTTGACAGTAACCATTATTTCATTTTGGAATTAATGTTGATGAAAATAACAACATGCAAGAATAAACTGCCTGGTTAAATACTTTGTCGGACTAAAAGAGAGCTTTCTGATTTTCTGTCTCTTCCTTTTCTTCCTCCCACTACACCACCCTTAAAGAGGCCATTAATAAAAGGTTTTAGTGTTTTAGTTTTTGTTATTGTTGTTAATGCTTATTTAAAAGGTAGAATAATAAGTCAACTTTGATAGCAAATACTGGATTCCATCTGTTTCTAAGTTCTAATTCCTGGTATATACTAGATGCCTGGTAAATATTTAGTAGTAGACCTTCTTGAAAAATTTTTGTGTCTCATTATGGCAATTAATTTTAGTTATTCAGAAGAACTAGGGTGATTTGTGTAAATTAGTATACCTTAGATATCTTGAGGTCTTCCATAAATGAAAATAAAAACTTATCGTCTATACATTTTTTCTTTTTTTTTATTCACCAGGTTCTTACTACATGCTAGACATAAGGAGCGTAACATTGAATAAACCACATTTCTTGTCCCTAAAGATTTTACAGTTGAATGGGAGAAGATAACAAGTGAATAATTACAGCACAGAGTTGCTTTGATAAAATATTGGAGGGAGAGCTAACTCAGTCTTCAGGGGAGTCCAGGAAAGAGGAATAAAAATTAGGTAGTAGAGCTCTGCTGGATTCACAAAAGGGCTTGTAAGCTATATTAAGAAGCTTGAGCTTTAAACTGGTCAATAGGAAAGAATGATTACTAAGACAAGCACCTTAAAGTTTCAGATTCTCATCTTTTCTAGGTTGCTTTCTAGGTAATTTTTTCTGTGCCAGACTTGTACAACGATAATGTTTGTTTATGTTAATAGTAACTTGCCATTTCATCTTATCCGAGGGTTGAATAAATATTCCTATCCGTCAACCACAAGAACCTGGCACAACAAGTGCCAGTGATCTTTGTGTTTAAAGAATATTGTTTACATGTAATGATCCCAGTAATAGATAAATTTTCTTTTATGAGCCCTCTACAAGAACTTGTGTTTGTTTATGACATACCCTTGAATAAGGTCATTGTACTAGCTATCAAGTTGGCAGTCTCTTGAGTGGAAATAGAGTCTATTCTCAGCTGGTAGACTTTTTGAATGAGCTCATCCACTTTCCATCTACGGATAAGATCTATATTTGTATTTTGTATCACTTACTTAGATCCTAAATGCTTTATTATTGATTTTTTTCTATGTATACGTTTTCATGTTTTTATATAATTTTAGTATTTATCTATTTTAATGGCTTATGTTTTCCACTTAGTGCTATTTAAATATTGGCTACAGCCTTGATTTATTTCTGTCACCTTTGGTTTTTAGATAAGTGGTTATTAACCCTAGCTAGACAACGGAATGATCAGTGAGACTTTTTAAAAGAACCTAGACTTCTGGGGCTTACAGATCCACTGAATCAGACTATTTGGCAGTGGACCCTGACAGCTAACACTTAAAAACAACAACTACCACAAAGTATAGCAAAGGTGTTTCTGATTTGTGCATCTATAGTGGACAGTTGCATCCTTATTCCCATAGAGGGTTTGAGGGTTGAGATTTATTTAGATCGTTTCCTCAATCTCTTTTTTAGTAGTTTGATGGTTCTGTAATGGGCAACTTTTCCCCAAAATGCTTTTCTCCTTTAGTCTTTTACTGAAGAGTGGAAGGAATAGAAATAAAATTGGGGAAAGTAGGAATTATGCTAAGAAATTGAAGGCCTAGCACCAGAAAGAAGACAAAATCAGACCAAATAATTCTTGTTTTGAAGCAAAAACAGTTGAGTAAAATAAGAGCCTACTGTGTGCCAGGCAGTGTTCTAGGTGATGGAGATATAGCGGTGAATAAGACAAGGACAGCTGCACTATCAGTTGGAGATGAGGTGGTCAAACAATAGAATAGCACATCAATCAGAAAAGAAATTATTTTCAGATACTTACAAAGAACATAAAAGACAAATGTAATAGTAACTCACAGATGCTATATTAAGGATAGGAGGTTTAAGCTGGAATTGGCATTACAAATTGTTATTAGTTGTGCTAAGATTTGGGACCTAGCTGTCTAGTAGAGAAATAGCAGAGAAGTACAGACCCAAAGCCAGTGATATGCTAGGCCTGTCTGAAAGAAAACCAGTGGTGCTACTGTACTGTAGACAATGGTGTTGTGGATAGGAATCTATTCCTAGTAAGGGTGATTCTGAGCCTTTTGACTTGAGAACCTGGGCCCCATTACTATTTTAACAGTAAGTTTCTAAATGAGGAAGAATGAGGCAAATTGAGGGAGTGGGGTGTCAGGGAGGATGTAAGAGATGCCCCTTAGGCTTGAAGCTTTAAGTAGGCTTTTGGATCTGGAACTTTGGAGCTCAATGGAGAGATAGGCATTGGAGGTAAATATTGAGAATTAGCAGCATATAAATAAGAGAGATCCAGCCCCTTCTGCCCCCTCCCGTGCTCCCTTTATTTATTTATTTTTTGTAGGGTTGATTTTAATCGTTGTCAAAATGTGTGATTCTCATCACTGGCTATGGGTTACTGACCTTGAGAATAGTTAGGAAAAAGTTTATGCACAGATCCCACCCTCAGAGATTCTAATTGGTTGATTTGGGGTGGGGTCTAGGTATAGGTATCTGTTATAGCTCCCCCAGGTGATTATTTTGTGAAACCAGTTTTGAGACCCGCCAGTTTATTGCATCAAACTATGATATTTACTAATGCTAATCTTGATCCCCATAACAGAAAGAAAAAAAATGGAAAGCCTGCCTGATGCGGCTTCTTTTGCTACTAAACTTAAAAACACTCTCATCCAGTACCATAGCATTGAAGAAGATAAGTGGCGAATTGCTAAGAAAAAGGTAATTTAGTTCAATTACTTATATTTTATGTTCAATGAATTGGTTGATGACTTTCAAAATTATATGGAAAAATACTTTGTATAGATGTGCAAGAGAGATAATTGAGCTAATAGAATTGGTGGTCTATTGTTATGCAACGAAAGATGCATATCAGTAGTAATCGTGCCCTGCTTTCATTAGCTTTTTAGATATTAGACATGAGACTAAATTCATGGCAACTAGAGCTTAAAGAATAGTCTCTTGAGTGAACAAATAAAATATGTTATCAATTTAAGGAAATATAGCAATTGATAGTTTAGAATAGTTTTAGCTATATTAACAAGCCTGTGAAGGTGCTAGTTACTCTTCCATTTTATCAATCTCACATGCCTAAACTATCACATGGCTTAAGTGTTGATAGAATCAAGCCTAGGACCCAGGACTCTTCTAGTTAAGTGCTGTGATTTTTCTGATATCCTAAATAACTTGGGAAATCAAGAAAAAAATGTAGAAACTAATTCAAGATAACGCTGTCATAATAAATGTGAATTGTTAATTTTTAAAAAGGTACAAACAATTTCAGAAAGAAATGTTTGTGTTCCTAATTTTGTAGTTTGAATGCATTAGTAATCGTAAAGAGGTAAGTTTGAAGTGAGGCAAATGATAATGGTCTCTAAGATAGCACCATCACTGCCTTACAGTGTTTGAGTCTAGTTAAATGCTACTGAAAATATTTTTTGAAGATCTGTAACTTAAGTACAATATGAAGAACTTTAGGGTACAGAAGAAGTTCAATTATGGATCAATTTATGGTGCAGATGACTTCTATGTATCTCTGAAAATATGCTTAGTTTTATTTTAGTGCGAAGACAAATGCTCTAGACTTATAAAATTGTCAGTTTTGTATGTAAGGTTCCACTTACATAACTATTACCATATGATGATGATTACCGTATTTTTCTAGAAAGATGTAACAGTTTGGAGAAAACCCTCAGAAGAATTTAATGGATATCTGTAAGTAAATTCTTATAGTTTATGTAGCTCTTAAGACACTGCTAAACTTAATTTATATACACGATCACCAAATGATCACTGCTTGTACAATTTGGCTTTTGCTTTTAAGAAATTAAACTTTCTGAAAAGAAAATTGGTCCTATAAATTCAAAACCTTGAAAATGTTCATGTCCTTTGTGGACTGAGTTGGTGATGAGGAGGTCATAAATAATGATATCTAATGACGGATAAAACTTGAAATTCTTAGCATGATATACATGACCCTTCTAATATTCTTTTTTTTAAATCAATATTTTTTATTATGATATTGTGGGGTACAGTTAAGGGTTAGGTATTCAAATATGCTTCGTTCAGGCCGCCTTGTTGATAAGAGGTGTCTCCCCGTCCCCAGACAGATGTTTACTACCATTAGTCCGATCTCCCTCCCCCCGCATAGTTTCCCACCACTGTCAGTCATTTTCTTATGGTAGTACATTGGATGATCAAGGTCCACTATATGAGTGAGAACATGTGATACTCAGATCTTTGTTTTTGTGAGAGGTCACTCAGTATTATAGACTCTAGTTCCATCCAGGTTGCTGCGAAATTCATGATTTTGTTCTTTTTTATGGCTGCATAGTATTCCATCATGTATATGTACCATGTTTTTTAAATCCAGTCCTCTTTTGATGGACAGCATGGTTGGTTCCAGGTTCTTGCTATTGTGAACAATGCTGCGATAAACATTTGTGTGCAGGTATCTTTTTGATAGAGTGATTTGAGTTCTTCAGGGTATATTCCCAGTGACCCTTCTAATATTCTATATGTGCTCAGTGGTATGGTGCCTTTTATGCTAAGAATTTATCTTGCGGAAATCATCAGAACGATAATAGTGATTTAAGTACTTGCTCTCCCATTATAGCATTATTTACAGTATTAAAAATCATAAATTACCTAAATAATCAATACTAGGAGAATTATTCAACTATGAAACTTCTGTGATAGAATATGATATAGCCTATAAAAACCATACTTTCAAAGATTATTTAGTAACATAAAAAAATGCTTATAATAAAATGTAAAGTGAAGGAAGCAGAATACTAAACTTTATGTAGCACAATTGCAGGTTTATTTTAAATATATATTTTTATTACTAAAATGTTTTTACTCAATACCAAATATTCACCTCTAGATGTTAGTTTTATGGATGATTGTTTTTTCTTTTTTGATATTTGCTTTTACTTGGACATGTATTATGCTTACAACCAGAAAAAAATATGTTGTTTTTTGTTTGCAGTGCCCTTATTTTAACAGACAAATACATTGTTTTTTAAGCGAGTGGAGACAATTGCCTTGTGTAATTGGAGTAGAATTTTCACATCCTTAGGTCTCAGCCATTTTTAAAAATAAAACTGCTGGACCCTCTTAATATAAACAAAATGTTCTGATGTGGGATGCCAAAGATAACATTTCCAGAAAGATGAGTTGTACGACATTTATGATGAGGACAAGGAAACTGGAGTTGGATTCAGCATTGTAAGCAAGTGGAAGTTATTCCTTTAGACCAGTAATTCCTTGTGTGGGTTAAAAAGTAAATAAATTGCCACGTGAGTACTATGCTTGGAGATCTGAAGATTTCAGAGAGAAACTAATATTTGAGCTGAGACTTAAAGGAAAAATAGATATATCTTAAGGATTGAAGGGCTTCATATTCTAGGTAGAAGGAATTGCATTTACTACATTCACACAGATAAGTGCTGGTGGCTTTTTTTCAGAGTCTTAAAGGGATATGTGATCAAAAGAGGTAGGAACTGATAAGGTGTTGAGTTAGACACAGAGTGCCCACACTAAGGCTGTACCACAGGAGCTGAAAAGGGCAATTTTTTTTAAAAGTTCTTTTTTTATTTTATGTTAAAGATTCGGGGTACAATTCAGAGTTAGTTATACAAATGTTCATTATGCAGGTACCCCTGTTGATGAGGTGTGCCTCTCCCTCCCCTGGCAGTTTCCCTCAAGTGCCAATCCTACCCCCCATCCCCTGGCAGTTTCCCACTACTGCCAATCCCTTTCTTATAGTATTATGATAGTTGTTCAAGGTCTGATTATGAATGAAAACATATGGTACTCTGGTTTTTGTTTCTGTGATAGATCACTGAGTATGATAGGCTCTAAATCCATCCAAGTTGCAATGAAGTCCATATGTTTGTCCTTCTTTATGGCTGCATAATAGTCCATTGTGTATATGTACCACATTTTTTTTTATCCAGTGAAAAGGGCAAATTAATGTGAAAGATTTAATGATGATGATGGTGGCAGGAGCGGTAATGATAAGTAATGTTTTTTGAGAGCCAGGTGTTGTTTTAACTTAGCACTTTCCATTTAGGAAATCATCTTGATAAAAACATGGTGACTGATTAGGTCTAACTATGAGAATGGGGTTAAGAGAAGAAGAAGATCCAAAGTTGAACATATTCACAGTGTTTTTAGCCTGATTTTTGACTACTCTATAACATGAAGAGATTTTATTATGTTCATTATGACACATACTATAGCCTTCACTTCTCATATTACATTTGAGGACAAAGGCTACCTTCTGATAAAATAATTGGTAGAACTTATCAGAAAAGTTGTTGGGACTTGTTTCCTTAGAAACAAAAACACAAAACCTCCATTAATTTTTACTCTTACTTTCAAAGCTAGCTCTTAACTATGAGGGCATTCTGAAATTCTTCATTCTAATAGCATTTGACTTTAATTTTTTTTTCTCCAGCTATAAAGCCCAAGGTGTTATAAATGACAGTGTCAATAGTATAATAGACCATATACGCCCAGGACCTTGTCGTGTGGATTGGGACAGCTTGATGACTTCACTGGATATTTTGGAACATCTTGAAGAGGTATCTGTTTAGAAACTTCAGTCTCAGTCTCCCTCTCTCCCTCTCCCCGCCCCGCCCTATCTCTCTCTCTCTGTGTGTGTGTGTGTGTGAGAGAGAGAGAGAGAGAGAGAGAGAGAGAGAAAGAGCGAGTGAGAGCATGAGTGAACCTGCAAAGTGTGTGTAAGTATTTATATATTCACTGTATTAATTGCTTTGAGAATAATAGTCATGGCAAAGATGTCATAGGGGAACCCTTGACTGCCTCTTAAGCTTGAGTTTCCTCATGTTAATTAATGAGTGTTAAAACTGAATTTGTTTTCTGCTGTAACTCTACTCTTGCTGCTTAAGACAATCTTCAGCATCTTTCACTGTAAAACTGTAGTTGAGGTTCTTAAATCTCAATTTCTGGAAATACCACCATTATATTTAGGTTTCTTGGTAAATGTATGTAGTTTTCCCATGAATACTAAGCCAAAGTCAAAGATGAAAGATAAAAATGCCTCCTTAGTTAAACGTTCTCTAATTCTGTAGATAAAATTGCTTGCTCTCTTTGTTTTTATTGATTAATTTATTAATGTTTGAATTTTTTAATTAAAACATTTGATTTTGTAGTCAAAGTATTTGTGGATTTTATCTTAAAAATTCTAAAATGGTCTACATCCCCTAATTCCACATAAACTATTATATAGAATGAAAGGTGACTGTATCTAATTAAAGATTTGGATACTGGCTACCTTGTACCTCTGTATTTTGATTACATATCATCTTTATGTCCATACAATAGCAGTGAGATTTAGAATAGAGATCCAGACCTGTCAGAATCACTGCCAAAATTATTATAATAATTATAAAATATTTAAATGGGTATTACTTTTTATCCAGAGTCTATGTGTGTATGTTTCCTATGGTAGTAATGCTTGTCTTACCTGTTTTCTTTTTCAGAATTGCTGTGTGATGCGTTATACTACTGCTGGTCAGCTATGGAATATAATTTCCCCAAGAGAGTTTGTTGATTTCTCCTACACTGTGGGCTATAAAGATGGGCTTTTATCTTGTGGTAATAATTCCCAAATCTCATACTTTTAAATATTTGAGTTTTCTAGGCTGGATCTTTCTTTCAACCCTCAGAGATTTTGTAATCACGAATTTTTTTTTTTTTTTTGTTGCAAATACTAAACTCTAGGGAGTAAAATAGAAATTTAAAAGAATTTGAGAATCTTTCTGAAAAGTTTTTGTTTCTAATTACATAGTATTCTCTAGGTCACAGATAGCAAATTTAAGCCACTTGTCTCTGAGAAAGGGTTCCAGTAAATGGATTCCCTTCTAAGCCACTATCAGAAAGCAGCTTTTTGGTCACATAAATAGAAAGAAAAACAGACTTGGTATATACTGGTATAAGTTTTCTTTCTTGAGCTGTGTTTTATTTTTCAAGATTGAAAACTACTGCCATTGGAAGGCTTCTGTTTTCTAAAATATAGTTAAATTAATATTTTTTATGCATAGTATATACATGAGTTGACAGTCATAGGTAAACATCTACTTATTTATTTTTAACTAGGCAGTACCAGAATTGGGTATGATAGTGCCTGTGGGGAATAGCTGGGGTACCATAGATTTGATTATTGATACCTTGAGGCCTGGCTACTATAACCAAAATTAGTAGTTTCCAAAGAGTTGCCAAGTGACATGATGTATCTATTCTGAGGGGATTGGAACTTACCCTATTACCCATCTACCAGCCTTCTCTCAGAATCCCCCTTGGTAATTATCTTTTTTCGTTCTGCTGTTCTACTTGTGGAACTTCTTTCAGATAAGGAGAAATACTTAAACAAGAACTCTGTTAATATTTTTATATGAGAGTTTTAGACAGATGTCATTCATCTAATAGTTTTATTTTAAAATTGCCCTAGGGATAAGTCTTGACTGGAGTGAAAAGAGACCAGAATTTGTCCGAGGATATAACCATCCCTGTGGTTGGTTTTGTGTTCCACTTAAAGACAATTCAGACCAGAGTGTTTTGACAGGCTACATTCAGACAGATCTGCGTGGGATAATTCCTCAGTCTGCAGTAGATACAGCCATGGCAAGCACTTTGATCAACTTCTATGGTGATTTACGAAAAGCCTTGTAAAAGTCATATGATGTTCAGACTTGTAATGCTATGATCCTCTGAATCAACTCTTTCTCAGTTGCATGGCCTATAAAAATCATTGATTCTACTCTTCTGCATACCCTGTAGAAAAATTTGAGATGTTTTTGGTTTGGTAGTACAATGTTTTATTTTTATTCCTAAAGTAAATATTTAAGAGAGAACATTCCTGTTTTCTTAGACAGTAACTTGCACATTGTTTGGTATGACAGTATGCCTAGGAATGGAGAATATGATAGAAGTCCACAAAGTCAGTACAGTTCTTTTGTCCATACTCCTAAGAAATTGAGAAGTGCCTCAGTATGAATATTTTGGCTGCTTAGAAGTTAGAGAAAGCACAAGCATTATGTTGTTAGGTTAAAATCATTTATTTTAGAGCTTTATAAAGATCTTATAAAATTTTAATTTAAATGTTAGTGCTTTACTTTTAATATCTTCTAGAGTTTATCAATATCTTGAACAAAAGAAAAAAGTTCTTTTCTATATTTTTTTTAGTAAAGGTAAAAAATGAAAAGACAATAAATACCTACAATTTTTATTGAGTTTATTGGCAAACTCAATCCTAGTAACAAGAGGTACAATTCACATGCAATTTAGATAGCATTCTTTTGTGACTATCTTTACAAACACATTTATGTCTTTATGTGTATTTATTTGGGGACTCTTAAAAGCATTTATGCATGAACATGATAGTACAAAAATCTGCCAAATGTGTAATGAAGACAGCATACATATTGATGGAGCAGTTGTCTAGGTTGTGTGAAATGGCTGGTGTAGTCTGTAATCACCAACAGAGAGTCTTATAGAAAGCCAAATTCTATAAATGTTTTGTACATATTTTAGTTTTAAAAGTATCACTTAATTTATAAAACATTATAAGCTGCATTATAAGTGTTCATAACTGTGGTGTGACTTCAGTCTGGAACTAGAACAAATGCATACCTAGATTTATCAAAATGCCTACCTGTCATTTTATAATGGGTAAAGTTAACAATAATTTTAGTTCCTTGAGTGGCTGCCTTGAATATTTCTAAATGATTTGGGCGCTCTAAGTGATTCTGTGGCTTTTGTAGTACCGATGTAGTTTACTTCTAAAATGAGAACTTGAGGCATCTCTCAGTGTGTCCAGGTAAAACTTTATATGTATTCATGTTTGTGTACATGCGCACATCTCAAACTGTCTCACTGTTCACAGTTAGTTTATGTGTTATTGTTACTGTTTCCATTGTTTCTTTCTTCTTTCTTTCTTTCTTTTTTTTTGGTTAATATGGGGTAAAGTGAGTCCTGGAAGTACTTACGTGCCAAACAGGCCACAAAATGCACAAAAGTATAGAGTAGTTCAAGTGCTTGAAGGTTTGATCTTTGTTTTGCTTTTTTGTATTTTTCTGAGTATAAAGAAAGAATAAATCATAGTTCTTTATATTCAACTGGATAAAGTGTAAAAATGAGCTTTTTTAAAATTTATTTTTTTGTTACTGGAGATGATAGGTTTCAAAAACAAAATGTGGTAGCAACACAATGTTCATGATGAATAATGTCATAGTTTTTAGATTGAAAAATAATTTGTTTCAAGATCTGACAAGTGATATATACAAAGGACTCTGTTCTTAATTGAAGTCTATTAATTAACAATATCCTTTTCAAAATTGATTATAACTTTTGAATTCTCTGCTAATTTTTCCTTCTAAAATAGAGAAAGACAATCCAACAGTTTAGCTTCCAGTTTCCCATGGAAATTGTTAAATATTAGTTTTATCTATTTTCCTTCATTTGTTTTTATTAGTATAGAATAGGAGGTATCATAGTCCATTATTCTGTTCAAAATGGTGACATTCCAAGGATGTTCATCTTGGGTAAGAGATGTGCAACAAGGCTATATACTTTACCACAAGGGTTATTATTTCCTGAGCTAAGTGCCCCTAAAAACAAATAAACTGCCCACTCTTGCTACTCTAGTGTTCTCTATATCCTTATCAATATATAGCTCCAGCAAGTGATTACATAATTCACTGTTGAATGTGGGCCCACTGGAGGTAAAGTGACCCTCATGGAAAAATTTTCATTGCAAAAGTGAATCATATGATGAATTTTTTTTAAAAATGTGAATTATCTGAAATTTATGTGCAGCCTTTAGATGGTACTTTTGATCTGGGCTCTAGCTATGTACTTAAAAAAAAAACAACCAGCTTTTCTGAGGTATAATTTACATAACATACAATTTACCCATTTTAAGTGTCTAATTCAGTGATTTTTAAATACATTTATAGAGTTGTGCAACCATCAACACAATCTGGATTTAGAATATTTCCATCACTCCAAAAGATCCCTTTTGTCTTTTTGCAGGCCGATATCTAATCAAAGTTTATTGCAGTTGCTAATATGAAGAAGGTGATGAAAAGGAGTACAGTAGGTTTTATTTGGTTTTGTTGTGAAGAGTGGAAGTGTTTGTGATTCTAAGCTCAGGAATCTTGTGATAGTGTGTTAAATATGATCATTAAATACCATAATGATATAAAAATTTAATGATGTGGGTTGGGATGAATATTAACATATAATTGATTTTACTGCTTACATAGCAGTGCTATAGGATAGAAAAATAATGTAAGCCATGTATGTGATTTAAAATTTCCAATAGCCATATTAAAAAAAAAAATAGCTGAGGTAATATATTTTATTTAACGCAATATACCCAAAATGTCTTCATTTTAACATGTAATCAATATAAAAAAGTATTGAAATAGCTTATCTTCTTCTTTTGTACTAATTCTTTAAAACCTGGTGTGCATTTTACTAATTTGGACTAGCCACATTTTAAGTGCTCACCACATGAAGCCAAAGGCTAACTGGCTTACCACTGGATAACCCAATATGTATTAATTTCATCTTGCTGTAAGATGAAACAGACAATTTTGTGGAATTACTATCTTAAATAGAAATCTTTTCTAGTCTTTAGCGCCTTCAGTATTTATTAAAAAGGACATTTGAACTTCAGAAATAAATTAGTTAGTAGTTTTCAATAAAATGAAAATTATTATCAAAAATATTTTTCTTTGAAAGTTATTAACTTTTGATATAGCAGTTTATGAAATGAAAGAATATAATCTGCATTGTGATTGTATGGTTATTTTCTGTAGTTGATAGGTGATATGTCTTTGAAATGTGTGTATGAGCCAGGCTCGGTGGCTCAGCCTGTAATCCTGCGCTTTGGGAGGCTGAGGTGAGTGGATTGCCTGAGCCCGCGGGTTCGAGACCCACCTGGGCAACTTGGTGAGACCTCATCTCTACAAATAAATCAAAAATTAGCCAGGCGTGGTAGTGCGCGCCTGTAGTTCCAGCTACTTAGAAGGCCGACGCGGAAGGATCACCGGAGCCCAGCAGGTCGAGGCTGCAGTGGCTGGAGTGGCCACTGCACTCCAGTCTGGGTGACAGAGTGAGACTCCAACTCAAAAAAAAAAAAAAGAAATGTGTATATGTGGGAAATATTTGGCATAGTACTGTTTTCAGTACACAGTAGCTATTTTTTTTAAAGGAAATTAGTTTCATAGAAAAAATTTATTGTGATACTTTTGCATGAAATATTTTTTATTGACAAGTCTTGTCCAGCCCTTGAAATTGAAAACAATACTCAGCAAAAATAACTATGAGAATCTAGTGTTCTATAGTTATCTATAGTATAACTTGTTAGAGTATTAGAAAAAATGTAAATGTTAGAAATCTCTCCATTTCAGTGTTCACTGAGATTGGATATATTTGAAATTATAGATTTCTGTGTGTAAAATGTCTCCCAGTTAATAGAATTTTTTTTCCTTTCCCTTCCTTTTTTCTCATTTTCTAACTGAAGGACATTTTATCAATGATCAGTTGAATTCAATTAACATCTCAAGCTGAAAAAAACTTTGTAATTGAAGTTGCTTCTGGAGAAGATAGGAAAACATTGCACAATTTAAGCCTCTAATTGTCTATTGAGTTTTTTGGTCTGAGTAATTCCCTTTAATGCAGATAAAAGCTTTACCTCTTTACTCAAGAGTGTACTAGCATCCTTAGAATCAGGTGTTAAAATCCAGTTTCTTTTAAGTAAAGGAGACTATAGCTATCCCGATCCTATAGATAAATTAAACGAACCAGAGAAAGTTAAGGGACTTGAGCGAGTTTCCATTAGAACCTGTGCTGTATAATTGCTTGTCCAGTGTATCTTCCATGCCTTTCTTATTCAACTGCTAGAAGTGGGGGATGTTGGAACTTGAGCATAGAAGAAATATTAGATTAATTCCAGAATACAGGAAGTTGACATTATAATTTTGTCATTACTGTGTTGTTTCCAAAGATTTTTACCAGTATATTTAAATATTCATCTCTTACAGCTCAATAAAAGCTATATTATATATAGATTTTATTTTTTAAGATGTTTATAATTCTTTTATGAACCAACATGTAAGACTAGAATATTTATTAAACTAATAAGAGTATGTATTAGTATAAATAAAATGTGTATTTATTTTTAAATCGCTATGAAGTATATCACAATAAAAATTTCTAGACACTCTTATAGTTGATCATTGATATTGTCTTGTGTAATTTATTTTAGCCTTACTTATTGATATTCAGCTTCACATGTCTGAATTTAAAGTATGTAATTTAGCTTCCTGAACTCTGACAAATGAAAACTATAAATCTGGAAAATAAAGTTAACAACACATGTTGATCTCCTGCCAATGTTTCATATATTAGCTATAATAATGATGAGTCTTTATTTGCTCTTATATAACCAAAACAAATGATGAATATATTTTACTCTTGTTATAGTAATATATTGACAGGGTATATTGTACATATGTTCAGATAATTGTGTTAACTTGATTAGGAATTATAGTTTTGTTTAGAATTTTTTAAAAAATGAAGTAATTATGAGGACACCCATGATCTATGTAGTATGTAATGGAAAGTATGATTGTGAAATAGTTTAAACAAATAGTTGTTTTCTTAATTTCATAAAAATTCTGGTGCTATGAATTGGATGTTTGTGTTCTCCTAAAATTCATATGTTGAAATCCTAACTCACAAGGTTTAGAAGGTAAGTCCTTTGGCAAGGGTTACACTGAAGAATGCTATTAGTGCCCTTATAAAAAAGGCCCAAGTGAGATCCCTTGCCCCTTCTGCCATGTGAAGACACAGCAAGAAAGCACCCTTTGTGTGGAAGCGGGTCCTCACTAGACTCCAAATCTGTAGGTGCCTTAGTCTTGGACTTCCACTAGAAATAAATTGTTGATAAGCCACCCAGTGTATAGTATTTTGCCGAAACAGCCTGAATGGTGGTAATCGCAATAGACTAGGAGTTGGGAAACCTTGGTCTATTCCTTTCTCAGCCACTGTGACCTTAAGTAAGCCATTATCTCTCTTTGATAAAGTGAATTTACTGGATTAGATGATTACTTATGTCCCCTTTAAACTTTAGTGATTTTATAGAAGATAAACATTTAAGCACTCAATTCTGTGATAAAATGGTATTGAGAGAGGAGTAAGACACCAGAAGATAGGTAGATTAGGGCAGATAGATTAGGACAAGTTTCCAACAAAAACTTCCACTGCAAGCCCCACGGACTGGAATCAGATCACCTATTTCCAGGTCCGTGGACTGCCCTTTTCACACCTTTCCTCATTATTAGCCCTTTCCAGCCCCCTCCTGATGGGTGCATTGCAATTCCACATCATGGTGCCTCTCTCTGATTGGTGCTACTACCCCCCAATCAGCACATTCCTAAGACTATAAACCCCTGCTTTTGGCCTCTGGCCGGCATGGCACCCTCTTTTGAGACACCTCCCACTGTCAGGGGCTTTCCTGTCTCCTAATAAATTCCTATTTACTTACTCTGGTTGTCTGCGTCCCTCATTCTTCCTGGATATGAGACAAGAACCCGGAACTGCAGAACCAGAAGAGCTGCCAAACTAGAAGTGGCTGGAAAAGCTGAACCCAGTGTGCTGAAGAAAGATCCAATACTCCCTAGGGGCCTGCCTTGCTGTAACACTTCTTGGGGCCCTGGCTTGCTGGCCTGCTAAACAAGTAGAGCTGTGAATACTACTCAGGGCTTGACTTGCTGACCTGCCAAGCCAATGGGGCTGTAAACACTTCTTGGGCTTGGCTCACCAACCCCCAAACTAAGAGAGCTGTAATACTTCTTGGGGCTTTTGCAGCTGTTGGCACCCCTGAGTTCTTGGATGCCACCACTTTGCCCTATCTGGATGCCATGAGTCCCTGGCTACCACGTGAATCCCGGGCTGGCAGTGCAGCTCTGGGAACTGCAACATCCTTGGGGGTCCAGCTCGCTAACTCGCAGGACAAAACAACTGCATCATTTCTCGGGAGCCTGTCTGGGATCGTCGGAAGGGTGAGTTAAAGCAGACTTATCTCTTTATTTTCATTTCAGAGGCTTCTTGTCCTAAGGTTTTCCTAATGCATTTTCTTCAGTCTTTCCTATCACATTTTCTTCACTTTGGGATTGCGATTTTAGTGGCTACTGTTGACACTTTGCTCAATGTCATGGGTGTTTTTGCAGCCTAGGGAGATGGCATTGCTGGGCAATATAGGTAGCTGGCTTGGTCATTTGAAATGTGCCTCAGGACAATGTGTTTCTGTCATTTCTGAGAAGCAGAGAGAGGTAGATTTTAAGAATTGTCTTAATGAAAGAACTCACTGGCAAAGGTTAGAAGGCTTTGATTTTGTTTTTTTCCACCATGTCAGCATAACCTAACAAATATGAGAAACTGTTATATGCAAGGAATTTCCTTTTGGGATGTTTGTTGTTAGGTTAGAGCTCCCTGTTTTTTGTTTAAGGAGAATCTGGCTCCATAGTTTCATGGGGAGTCTGGTCAGCACATTTAAGGAATTCTATGGGTCCGTAAAAACTGAATGAAAGCAGACACTTCTCTTTGAGGTGCCTTGTTGGGTCTATGACCCAGGAACTCAGACAGCTTATTTGTTAGCCCTATTAGAATCAGCTTACACAAGCTCAATGTCCTGCCCCATTTGAAAAATTCTGCTCATAATAGGGAAGCAGTAAGAAAGGTGCTGTGCTGACTGCTGGTTTCAGTTTTTCTGAGACTGTTAGGGACTGTCTCGATGGACCTGTATACCTTCCTCAGGCACTTTTATGTCTCCAACTTGAATGGTTCTTTACCAGGGAAAGAGGACTTTGTTTGGAAAGTAGTTTATCCCATTAATATGGATGTTGCAACTTGGCTCAATACATGGACCTCCTGGCAAGAGGTTCACAGAAGGTCCCAAGAACACCTCCTCCCCCTCCACCCTTGTTAGACTCCCTTGCCCAAATACAATTGCTCCAAGGTCTTTTTCAACACTTAGTCTGGATGAGGGAGAATGCTAGGTTGAGGAATTCAGAGGCACAGTCGACAGCGAAGGGCTGGGGCACTGCATAGGTAAGCATGGCTAATCCTGCTAACCAGATCCCTTCCTCTACACATGGATGGAGGTCATGCTTGCATCCATGGGGAATGCCATGAGCATATAAGGACAGGAAAGTGAGGGAATGCTCTTCTTTCTTTGATCCTTATTCATGTGCGTTAGTTGGAGAAGGGAAAGCTAAGGGATGCCTTTCTTTCACCTCCCTCTTTTTAGATGGATAATAAGCCATCTGCAGTGTGCGTTCCACTCAAGTGCATCCTGAGACACTGGGACTCCTTTGATTCTCAGACCCTGAAGAAAAAGTGACTTAAATTCTTTTGCACCTAAGCATGGCCAAATTATAAGGTGCAGGATAGAGAGACCTGGCCTCCAGAGGGAAATATCAATTATAATATCATCTTACAGTTAGACAGTTTCCATAAACACCAGGGCAAATTGTCTGAGGTTCCATATACAGTTCTTCTCTGCTTTGTGGGAAAATACAGATCTTTGTCAACGCTGTAAGATTAATTCAGCCCTCCTAGCTGTCATTTCAAAAGAGGATCCCAATGGATCAGGGATACCAACTCCAGGGGTACCACTGGGGGACACATCGGCCCCTGAGGCCACTCCTGGTTCATCCTTCCCCCCTTATCTAGATCCTTCCCATACTTCAAACCTGCCCCACCCTAAAAGCTCTTGTCCTAGACAAGCTCCCAAACTGGAACAAGCTGGGTGAATATGGTCCAGTAAGATACAGGTACCCTTTTCCCTAGGGGACCCGAAACAAATT